ATTGGTTAGCGTCTCGTTCACTTTGATTGCCTCAGCAATACATGTAGCACCCGCATCACTAATACCATTCCCAGACAAATACAAATTGGTTAGCGTCTTGTTCACTTTGATTGCCTCAGCAATACATGTAGCACCCGCATCACTAATACCATTGTTTCCCAAATGCAAATTGGTCAGATTCAAACCAGTTCCAAACGACTTCGATAAATGGGAGTGAAAATCACTTTTTTCTCTTTTGCATTCGTTGATCGCCTCCACTACAATTTCTGCACCACGGCCTTTATTTTTGTTGACTTCATTTGTTAAACTCTCTACAAGAGCCACAACTTGTTCATCGCATTTCATGGCCAAAATTCCACACGAAAACAAAAGTATTTGTTTAAGTTCATCGAAATACTTTGGATCGGAAACTAGTTCTTCAGGTTTCATTTCCTTGCTTTGAATCTGAGAACAAATGAAGAATGCGGCAAAGAATTCTTGAAAACTTTTATGTAAGAAGGCATAATGCAGTGTTTGTCTCAATTTGCTGCCACCAGGCGGCACTGACAGAAATCCAAATTCAGTCAGGTCTTTTGCATAGTTTTTCAATTCACTTTCACTAAAATCCAGCTTATCGTCAATTAAACCATTCAACGCTACCTTTCCAAGGTGATTCAATTGTGGTTTGTAATGGTTTGTCAGGTCTTCGATCTTTTCTGATAGTCCCTTCTTTTTTCTATATCTTCTCAAAACACATTCAACCATATCCAGGTACAGTTGAGTTCTGCTTTCGGGTAGTGTGCCTTCAAACTCTTCGCATAAAAGGCAAAGAAGTGCTGTGTTTAGAGGATTGGCCGCTATTTCTCTGAGGTTTTTATCTCGCGACATCCGTTGCGAGAGCTTGGTGGCTAAATCTATCCTTTCTTTAAAGTACTTGGTGACAAATCCTTTCACATGCTTTTCAGTGAATCCTTCGATCTGAAGTAGCGTGTCACAACATTTTCTCACCTCTTTTCCAGCTTCGTGTCTTGCTGTTGCAACTATGCGGCATCTGGGGAGTACTCTTCCTTCAATTAATTCGGAAAACATCGACAATTTACTGGACGGTAACTCATCCAATCCATCCAATATCAATAAAATGCTGGCCTGATTTTCACGAATAAACCGAAAGAATTGTTGTTTGACTTCTTCATCGATGTCTCGGGGCAGAAGCTGATCATCAATAGCTTCCCAAACGTCAGAATGGATATCTCGACATTTCAGTAATAATACCACTTTAAATGCTGTTGAGCCGCAGCCCTGAGGTTCTTGCTGTTTTGTGGCCCAGTCGTAGGCGTACTTTTTACAATAGGTGGTTTTTCCCATACCAGGTTCTCCTTCAATCAACACTGTTCTCGGCGCTGAACACTCTTCATACGGGTCTAGTATTGACGACATGTCAACAGATACGTCAGTGATTTCTCCTCTCGTTTTCTTTCTTCTGACCACTTTGAGCCTTGTAAAAATATTGCCAAGAAAAAACTGAAACTCTTCACACCATGGAAATGGTGAGAGCCATCCCTCGCGAGTCTTGTACAGCTGGCGAATTCCATTGATAAGCTCAGTTGGATCAAAAATACCTAGCAGTAGCAAAATAAGTAAGAAATCTGATGAATGGAACATTGAAAATTGTGGTACCTTTCTGGTATTCGGCACTGGATTTAAATAAGTGAATGAGTACGATACCGTTGCCAAAGAAATTAATTGGACGATGCAAAAAGGTTTTAGTGTATGATTCATGCTTACTGATTAAAAGCCATTTAGATTATGAATTCAGGTAAACCTACTAAACCTACCTAAACTCTGTCGTAAAATAAATTACTCGGGAGATAAATATTCATATCGTTGGAGCCGTAGTCTGAAAAAGGCTTTTCCGGGATATAGCGAGACTACGAACAAATGAATGGACACCAAACAACGCCTTTCTGCCTTCTTTGTCCCGCGGTTTCATCAAAAGTGCTGCAGAAAACCGGGGGCTCGCCTGCGATGAAGTATGCATCCTATTCTAACTCGTTTTACTCAAGACGCACATGAAGAATTTTTTAGCACGCGCGATATTTGAATGCTTCTTTTCTTTGGTAGATAAATAATCTGAGAGCTGCGGATTCGTAATTCAATAGTCCGTCGAGCGAAAAAGTAATCAAAGTGCCCTATGAGCAAACTCGTGAATTGACAGATGCCTTACATGATTTTTTGAATCATGTTTAATGTTATCTGGTTTAGGGAATTTTTGTGGTTGATCGTCATATTTAGAGTACGAGCAGTAGTTCAGTATTCGCTAATGTAGCAAAGAAACAAAGTGACGTTGGGATAAGAAGGCATTACAATTGAAATGATCATGCTATTACACTTGACAATGGTGGATGATGTATTTTACACATATATCATTTCTGGTTCAAAAGAAAAGGTTGGAAGTAAATGTGGGTGAAAAGTGAAATTTATTGTCTATCATTGTAAATATTGGAAAATCAAGGCAATGCTTTCTTAATGAAAACATCAATGATTCCTTCTTTATCAAATGAGACAAACGGGAACGAGTTTTACTGCCACCGTCATTTTGGATTTCCGCCTGGGAGATTTTGGTCATGTGCTAGGCAACATATAATCAAGAACAAGATATAATTTCATTCCAGGCCTATTTATCAATTTTGTGGTGTATTACTTTCGCATTTTAGTACGTAATATTTATTTTGAATCTTCAAATTGTCTTGAAACTTAAAAAGAAATTGTTCTTTAAAAATTCGCTGAAGATCGGTAGCCAAAATTATTTGTTTAAGTGTTATTTGATTTTCGTGTTAACCTGTAATTTCGTCAGTCGCCGGCACCTTTCGTTGCTTCTCACAGAAAAACACACAATACGAAATGCAATGATCGATTTTGTCCCCAATCTCACGCCATAACAAAAAAGCTTTAGAACACCTGTAAACTCGGAGCGCTTCGGTAAGTAATGTTTTTAACGAATCTTCGGATTGTTTTCAAGTTCAGGGATTGTAAATTACAATTTTATCAAAAACGAAGGTTGTTCTCTTATTCCAGTGTGAATCCTCGCACGCCTGCCAGTCGCTGGCGCCGCTTGTTGAAACTAAAACGAAAAATAAACTCTTTTAAGACTATCATTGGCTTCTTTTTCATTCCACCACTATTCTTAGCGACAAATGTCGCCATTTCGTTTGTTTATTACTCGCCAAAAACTATCAAATGCACTCAAAAGCCTAAAATCGAAAAAAAGTTTACAGGAATCGACCAATTGAGCGAGCGAGCGAGTGCCATTCTCCACATCATATCTACAACTCGCTCTTGTGCATGCGAGCTATTCACGAATTAAAAACCAATGGTGGTCGGAAAGTGGCCACCTCAAGATTTTCACGCAGTTCCGCTCTCCAGTGTTCTTGTCGCACGAATGACTGCTCGTACCTAATGATTTCCTATTTTCGCAGGAGTTTCAAAATTAAACTTTTTGCGATTGTCAAAGATTCGCGTTCTTTTGACGTTTTTGATGTATTTTTAACCTCTGCGTCCTTTTTTTGCCAAATCGCAAAATTTTTTATCGGACAGTTTGCCTATCATACTCGCGATAAACAAATCGAACTTCCGCTGCGCGGTCGTCCGATTTTGTTATTACTCGTATGATTACAGACCAAATTGGACTCCACTCAGTCCTATTACCATTACTTACTATGCACACAAATAATCAAGTCTGACTTGCGTAGCGCGCGAGATTTGAACTGCTCTCATACTATGAAAGATAAATCTGAGAGCAGCGAGTCGTGATTCGATAGTTCGTCGAGCGAGAAAGTGAATGTTTCTCCCTCCAACTTTCTCGCTGCTATTCTCTTTTATCAAATGTTCTTTTCGCTGTCTGCTTGGAAAACCATGACTGGAAAGAATAGAGAGGGACAGTTCTTAGTTTATGACTGCATCGCGAACGCCTCGCTTCCTTGGCTGAATGCATGCTCTTATGGTCAGTGCCTAGCGTAGTGCGTCTCTGGATAAATAGTTAGATATATCTTTGGCCAGTTTAAAGCAAGATAAAAGCAAACAGTGGCGATATCATAGTTGTAAGCAACCGCCTTCTATGCTTTAATATTGTTCACCTTTATGCAACCGTCGCCCCTACCCGTCCCCTGCACCATCGTTATTTGCACCGAACGAATCCTACCATTATCACCCTCCCCTGAGAGAATTTGTCTTTCCTTCAGTCTTTCCGAGCGTTTAAATTTCCCGCTGGTATGATAATCGGAAACTTCGACAAGTCTCTCATGTAATATATAAAAGTTCACAAGGCAACCAGGTGGACAATCAGACATGGTTTGATGCTACTCTGGTTTACAGATTTTATGAATGTAACCGAAGAAGTTACAATTCATAGACCCAAAGTTTCGACACTCCTGTCTAGTGCCTTCATTAGGGATGACGGCGAATCAATGGTGATGGTTGGTTTCTCAGGCAATCAATGGGTCTCAAAGGAATTCCCGCTTTATGAATTTCAGGTAAGCCATAAAAACGTGGACATAAGCCGTCACTACTGTAGAAAATTTTGTATGTAGAGTCACTAATCTTCACTAATGATCACCACTAATTGACGTTACCACCAGCGCCTTTGTTTGGAAGCTTGGCATATTAACTCCGCCCACGCTCCTTTAAATCGTGACGATGGCGGCTTACTTCCTGACGCCTATTTACACCTCGTCAGAAAAAAGGCACCTAATTAGTGATCATATAAAAGGACCTCTTGTTGCAGCGTGTAGATCACCTCTGATGAAGGCACTAGACAGGAGTGTCGAGACGTTGGGTCTATGAATTGTAACTTCTTCGGTTACATTCATTAAATCTGTAAGCCAGAGTAGCATCAAACCATGTCCAAATCCCTCATGTGTTCTTAAGCTATTGCGCCATTGTTCAAAAATGGCCCTTTAGGATCATTTTTCTCTTGTATAACAAAGCCTATTGTTAAAAATGTTGAGCCACTTTTCTTGATACGTTTATTTCATTTCAAACGATTCTATCAAAAGTAAAGTGAGAAGTCTTAAATAAAGGTACATACCACTCTTTGTCTTAAATCTTCGAACATCTGGCTCACTGTCTCCTTGTTCGTTGACAGCGAACAGTTTCACTTCATACTCTGTGTCATACTCAAGACCAGTTATCGTGTGGCGAGTTTCAACAATATCTCCTTGTTGAAAGATTTTTGTGGATCCTGTCATGAATTGTTTCCTACATTCCAGACGGTATTTAATGCTGCAATTACTGCTGGCGGACTCAGCTTCTGACCAGGTAACAATGAGATCCTTGTCAACTTCTACTTCTGTGTTTGTGATAATTGGTTTCTCAGGTAAACCTGTTCAAAATGATACTTTTTTTACTCTTTGTCTCTAAAAACTGTGAAATACCTATTCTAACTAAAACTAAACATATTGGTGTAATAAAGTAAATAAAACATCGATGAACAACTTTCCAGCATGAAAAATCAACAACAAGTCTTCACAATGTAATTTACGGCCAAATCAAAGATGACGATAGTAAATAAATGTTGGCCAAATAATTAAGTTTTCTCATATGAGAGCTGCAGCATGAGTATTTAACCTGTTGTTACAAAGTTTCACAATTCTTCGCCTCATGAAAAGCAGTGATACTCCAATATTAAGGAGCCAACAGTGTTTCTTTTATTTTATTTCAAACAATTCTACTAAAAGTAAAGTGAGTAATCTTAAATAAAGGTACATACCACTCTTTGTCTTAAATCTTCTGACATCTGGCTCACTGTCTCCTTGTTCGTTGACAGCGAACAGTTCCACTTCGTACTCTGTGTCATACTCAAGACCAGTTATCGTGTGGCGAGTTTCAACAATATCTCCTTGTTGAAAGATTTTTGTGGATCCTGTCATGAATTGTTTCCTACATTCCAGACGGTATTTAATGTTGCAATTACTGCTGGCGGACTCAGCTTCTGACCAGGTAACAATGAGATTCTTGTCAACTTCTACTTCTGTGTTTGTGATAATTGGTTTCTCAGGTAAACCTGTTCAAAATGATACTTTTTTTACACTTTGTCTCTAAAAACTGTGAAATACTTATTCTAACTAAAACTAAACATGTTGACGGGTAAGTAAAACATTGATGAACAACTCTTTCTAGCATGAAAAATTAATAACAAGTCTTATCAATATAATTTACAACTAAATCAAAGATGACGATAGTAAAAAAGTGTTGGGCAAATAATTAGTGTTTCTCATAAGAGAGCTGCAGCATGAGTATTAAACTTGTTGTCAGAAAGTTTCATCATCCTCCCCCCGTTAAAAGCAGTGTTACTCCTGTATTTAGGACCCAACAGTGTTTCTTTTATTTTATTTCAAACAATTCTACTAAAAGTAAAGTGAGTAATCTTAAATAAAGGTACATACCACTCTTTGTCTTAAATCTTCTGACATCTGGCTCACTGTCTCCTTGTTCGTTGACAGCGAACAGTTTCACTTCATACTCTGTGTCATACTCAAGACCAGTTATCGTGTGGCGAGTTTCAACAATATCTCCTTGTTGAAAGATTTTTGTGGATCCTGTCATGAATTGTTTCCTACATTCCAGACGGTATTTAATGCTGCAATTACTGCTTTTGGACTCAGCTTCTGACCAGGTAACAATGAGATCCTTGTCAACTTCTACTTCTGTGTTTGTGATGATTGGTTTTTGCTCAGGTAAACCTGTTGAAAATGATACTTCTTTTACACTTTGTCTCTAAAAACTGTGAAATACTTATTCTAACTAAAACTAAACATGTTGACGGGTAAGTAAAACATTGATGAACAACTCTTTCTAGCATGAAAAATTAATAACAAGTCTTATCAATATAATTTACGACTAAATCAAAGATGACGATAGTAAAAAAATGTCGGGCAAATAATTAAAGTTTCTCATATGAGAGCTGCAGCATGAGTATTAAACTTGTTGTCAGAAAGTTTCACCATCCTCCCCCCGTTAAAAGCAGTGTTACTCCTGTATTTAGGACCCAACAATGTTTCTTTTATTTTATTTCAAACAATTCTACAAAACGTAAAGTGAGTAATCTTAAATAAAGGTACATACCACTCTTTGTCTTAAATCTTCTGACATCTGGCTCACTGTCTCCTTGTTCGTTGACAGCGAACAGTTTCACTTCATACTCTGTGTCATACTCAAGACCAGTTATCGTGTGGCGAGTTTCAACAATATCTCCTTGTTGAAAGATTTTTGTGGATCCTGTCATGAATTGTTTCCTACATTCTAGACGATATTTAATACTGCAATTACTGCTGTTGGACTCAGCTTCTGACCAGGTAACAATGAGATCCTTGTCAACTTCTACTTCTGTGTTTGTGATGGCTGGTTTCTCAGGTAAACCTGTTGAAAATGATAGTTCTTTTACACTTTGTCTCTAAAAACTGTGAAATACTTATTCTAACTAAAACTAAACATATTGGTGTAATAAGGTAAATAAAACATCCATGAACAACTCTTTCCAGCATGAAAAATTAACAACAAGTCTTCACAATGTAATTTACGACCAAATCAAAGATGACGATAGTAAAAAAATGTTGGCCAAATAATTAAGTTTTCTCATATGAGAGCTGCAGCATGAGTATTAAACTTGTTGTCAGAAAGTTTCATCATCCTCCCCCCGTTAAAAGCAGTGTTACTCCTGTATTTAGGACCCAACAGTGTTTCTTTTATTTTATTTCAAACAATTCTACTAAAAGTAAAGTGAGTAATCTTAAATAAAGGTACATACCACTCTTTGTCTTAAATCTTCTGACATCTGGCTCACTGTCTCCTTGTTCGTTGACAGCGAACAGTTTCACTTCATACTCTGTGTCATACTCAAGACCAGTTATCGTGTGGCGAGTTTCAACAATATCTCCTTGTTGAAAGATTTTTGTGGATCCTGTCATGAATTGTTTCCTACATTCCAGACGGTATTTAATGCTGCAATTACTGCTTTTGGACTCAGCTTCTGACCAGGTAACAATGAGATCCTTGTCAACTTCTACTTCTGTGTTTGTGATGATTGGTTTCTCAGGTAAACCTGTTCAAAATGATATTTTTTTTACACTTTGTCCCTAAAAACTGTGAAATACTTATTCTAACTAAAACTAAACATGTTGACGGGTAAGTAAAACATTGATGAACAACTCTTTCTAGCATGAAAAATTAATAACAAGTCTTATCAATATAATTTACGACTAAATCAAAGATGACGATAGTAAAAAAATGTCGGGCAAATAATTAAAGTTTCTCATATGAGAGCTGCAGCATGAGTATTAAACTTGTTGTCAGAAAGTTTCACCATCCTCCCCCCGTTAAAAGCAGTGTTACTCCTGTATTTAGGACCCAACAATGTTTCTTTTATTTTATTTCAAACAATTCTACTAAAAGTAAAGTGAGTAATCTTAAATAAAGGTACATACCACTCTTTGTCTTAAATCTTCTGACATCTGGCTCACTGTCTCCTTGTTCGTTGACAGCGAACAGTTTCACTTCATACTCTGTGTCATACTCAAGACCAGTTATCGTGTGGCGAGTTTCAACAATATCTCCTTGTTGAAAGATTTTTGTGGATCCTGTCATGAATTGTTTCCTACATTCCAGACGATATTTAATACTGCAATTACTGCTGTTGGACTCAGCTTCGGACCAGGTAACAATGAGATCCTTGTCAACTTCTACTTCTGTGTTTGTGATGGCTGGTTTCTCAGGTAAACCTGTTGAAAATGATAGTTCTTTTACACTTTGTCTCTAAAAACTGTGAAATACTTATTCTAACTAAAACTAAACATATTGGTGTAATAAGGTAAATAAAACATCGATGAACAACTCTTTCCAGCATTAAAAATAAATAACAAGTATTATCCATGTAATTTACGACCAAATAAAAAATAACGATGGTTAAAAAAAAATGTTTGCCAAATAGTTTATTTTTCTCATATGAGAGCTGCAGCATAAGTACCTGTTGTTAAAAAGTTTAACAATTCTTCGCCTCATAGGAAGCAGTGTTACTCCTGTATTTAGGACCCAACAGCACTTATTTTATTTTATTTTAGACAATTCTGCCGAAGATAGAGTGAGAAGTCTTAAATTAAGGTACATACCACTCTTTGTCTTAAATGTTCTGACATCTGGCTCACTCTCTCCTTGTTCGTTGACAACAGCAGTGATACTCCAATATTAAGGAGCCAACAGTGTTTCTTTTATCTCATTTCAAACAATTCTACCAAAAGTAAAGTGAGAAGTCTTAAATTAAGGTACATACCACTCTTTGTCTTAAATGTTCTGACATCTGGTTCACTGTCTCCTTGTTCGTTGACAGCGAACAGTTTCACTTCGTAGTCTGTGTCATACTCAAGGCCAGTTATCGTGTGGCGAGTTTCAACAATATCTCCTTGTTGAAAGATTTTTGTGGATCCTGTCATGAATTGTTTCCAACATTCTAGACGGTATTTAATACTGCTATTACTGCTGCTGGCCTCAGCTTCTGACCAGGTAACAATGAAATCCTTGTCAACTTCTACTTCTGTGTTTGTGATGGTTGGCTTTTCTGGAAAACATGTTCAAAATTATGCTTCTATTAAACTTCATCTTTGATAAATGTGAAATACTTATTGTAATCAGGTAAAACACGAGTACACGTCAATTTAATCATTTCAACAAGTAATAGGAATGCAACGGGTCATAACATATCAGATCCAAAAAAAAAGGGTAAGCTCGAAATAGACGTTTTAAATAATTTTATTTTCATTTAAGCATACATAGATGATCTACAAAAGTCGTTCTCTAATCTGTCATACCTGTGAATGTTTCGCACTCAGTCGATTTATACCCAGTTTGAGTCGTTCGTGCCCGACTCACTGGCTGATTAGTACCAGTTCCCAATTTAGGAACCACTAAAACCCAGGAGATCTCACAAAATATGTCACCCACGAGTGAGTAAACAGATGTCGATCGTTGCATACGGAAAGTAATTAGAGTCAAACGGGTATTACAGATACAAGTACATTTCTGTGATGTATACTTGTGACCCTCTTAACAAGAAAAAGATCAGACCCCGCATTTCTAGTTCCAGGCCTTAGATTTGGTGGTCGCAGGATGCAAAGCTGGGTTGTTAACGCCTCAGTGTAAAGGTCAAATGGCCACACTGCAATTGTTAGGTGAGAGCTTAAAGCTTCACTTTTATTCCGTGAATGAATGCAACTGAGTCGAATTTTCCTCCCATATTCTAGAACCACCTCATAGTTTCCAATTCCAACATCAGCCCTTAATTGATCCCTCAATAATTATTATTTTTGGACACAGCCTGGTAATAGATTCATCTTCCATGTCCAACCCTGGGTGCTAAAAGATAATTCCTGACCTGCATATTTCATCGACTAAAGAGTGACTTTACTGGGCTGGTGTGAAGGCCTTGGGCAGAAGTTGTGCGGTAGTCAAAGAGGGCCAGTAAAGCATCAGAAGCATCCTTTGTTGCTTCAAGCTCTTGGCTGATTCAGTTGTATTTTCAACTATTCCACTGTTATTAAAGGGTTATTAGGTATTAGGGGGAAGTTGTGACTCATTGAAATTTCTATTTCTTGCCGAAAAAGGGGTCAATGAAAATATTGACAAGCGTCAGTTATTGCTTTTTTACCGTCATTTGGTCTCTCTGGAATGGAATTTGACCTCGTGAACCAAACAGTACCAGTAAGACTCTCCCAAATAGGTTGTTTAGAATTATGAAGTGTAATATACAAACAAACACTTCCCCCTCCCCCTATAAATTTTTGTGGGTTATCTTCTATATGCTCATGCAAAATCTCTTTCTTTGGTTTAGTCATTGCCATAATTATATCGCTGACTAACATTTCTGTACCAGTGTTTTGGCTATGGTAATTTACTAGCAGTTAAACTAAAAAATTTTTACTTACTTTGCAGTAACTCTTGAACCTCAAAGTCTTCAAGGTTTCCTAACAACTTTTGCACATAGTTTTCCCTGATACGGTACAAGTGCAGGACTTCCAATATACTGACCACCATAAAGAAGGCATCGACAGAGATAAAAGTTATGTTTAGGTAAGATTTCTCCTTGTAATGAAGATCATTACATTGCAGTTTTAATTTTGTCTGGTTGAGTGAACTTGGCGTGGTTTGACTGTTGGTCTGCAAGATCTCTTTAACACCACACTTAAAAACTGAAGGTAAAAAAATTGTCTGGTAACTGCAGACCAGCCCTAACATAACACCCAGGAAAAATATTCGAAAGAATACATGGATGAAGTAGGCGTAAAGAAATTTCTTTGTGTTTTTTTCCTTGTATCCTGGTCTTTTTCGAAGGGTCACAACACCATAAATTCCAAAGACGATCCAGCATGCACACAAAACACTGAAGGTTATGGCAACAACGTTCCGAGGTATTAAACCATGAGGCTTGGTAACTGTGGAAATGTAGTTGTCATAGCAAAGTTGTCTGATAAAATCACTGGGTTTGGGATCGCAGTTGAAGTTAAGTCTATCATTGGCATGGTAGCTTTGTAGAATGCTAAAAATGGTAAGATGCGATGCAGGAAAAAAAATACTCTGAAATCCTCCGAGAGGAGTTTGTAACTTGAGAACTAGTTTAAAGCTACCATCCATCATTCCTCAAGTATCAGTACCTAACAAGAAGCATAAGAAAAATAATTATCAATATTAATGCACCAAATGACTTGATGACTTGCATAAATTAGACCTGACTGCCAGGTCTCCCCAACCTACCTTAGGAAGAGACATTTAAGACTTATCTGAAATTTCTGTGAATATCTTAGTATTCAAAGACAATTATCAGTGCTTTGGAGAGAATAGTCATTCAAAATAGGTGTTATTAACTTAAGTTTGAACATTTTCTTCAATTTTGTGCTGACATCCCTGGAAGCTTGAGTCCTAATTAACACATTAACACTCAAACCACCGAAGAAATAAGGAATAGAGTAGAGACTTGTAAAAAAAATCCATAATTTTGCTGAGGCAGCAGAAGACTCAGTGTGGTTGGGGTGTGCAACAGCCTACCGAGCTGCTCTGCCAACTATTGTTCATTATCATGCACCAAATATATTTGTTCACACTTGATTGGTCTCAAAACATCATGTGATTGAATACACTTAGCTAATAACCAGGGGAATTGGCATATACAATGCCCACGAATACTATTTGTTATGAAATGAGAATGGGTTTGCGAGAGCAAAGCTTGAGTGAAACTGTTAGCTTTGAGGGACTGATAATTAATGTTCAAGGACAAATAAACGAGCGTATTTTCACGACAAAAAAAGTTATTGTGTTTATTATCCTTCCAATATTTTTACGTGAGAAAAAATGATTATCAATGATGAAATATCTGCTGCATATGGGATGTTTACTTTTCACTGTTGTCTGGTACGACTTCACGAGCAAACAAACACGTTCCTCTTTCTTAACAATAGCTAATCAATCCCTCCCCTGGAATTAAATTTCAAACAAACGCGTTTCTCAAAGTTGGGGAGTAACATGTGGGGTATCCTGGGATATGCCTAGCTTTAGCTCGGGCATATGCGATGAGGTGTTGCTTTTAGACCAGTTGCACAGCAGCAATATTATTTAATGGATTATAAGCGGCAATATATTCCCAAGGTGATACTTCCTAATTTTAAACACATACGTCCAGTTTGACCAAAGCCTTCATTCTAAAATTCAATTCACGATGAGACTGCTAACTTTTAGCTGTAGTAACAGAGGAGGAGCCATAATATTTGTTTGTTCATAAAGTCATAAAAGAGAAAAGTGAACATCGAGCCCACAGATGCAGTTATCAGCAAACTTATCAGCTCTTTGATATATAACAGGATCAGAGGGATAAACATTCCTTATGATGTAGTACGAATAATAAAAATGGGAAATGAATTATACTATATATGATCAGCCCTGAGGCAACTGCTTCAGTAAATAATAGCATAGTTCTTGACATAACATTACCATGCAGGCAAAATAATTAATACTCACATGGTGAAATGAGAGCATGCAGAATTTAAACATATACAAACTGGACACAATTAATCCCAGCAAATAAATTATTAACCCTTTAACTCCCACATCAAATTTGTAATTCTCCTTACTCTCAACCATACAATTCTTATAATGTTACTTCAGAGAATTTAGTATCGGATCAACTAATTATTCTCAAATTAATATTTTTCTTTCCTCTCATCACTTATCTGGTTGATATTGTGTTGATATTGTTAGGAGAAATTCTGTCTTGGTCATTCATGGGAATTAAAGGGTTAATACAGATTGCCAAAATGAAGGCAAGTTTCAAAAATGAGAGAAAAAAAGAGCAGCAAGTCCTCCTACCTTGTATAGAGTTTCCTGGGTTCAAGAAAATAACCCTTGAATCAGGGATAAAGTCAGAAAGTCTGAAAAGGGAAACAGCAGAACAACAGTTACTAGTATATATCAGTAATGAAAGACAATGACAGTCACAAATAAGGGCACTATAACAGATGCCCCAAGGTTGTAAGTGGTATTAACGGCAACATTATATAATTATATCAGAGTAATTTCATATTATCAGCTGAGTTGATAATGTAAATTTGCCACTGTGATGAGTTTCAAAGCTGACAATGCATTTGTCGGCCAAATTGCTCTGACGAAGGGCTAAGACTCAAAATGTCATCTTTTTAAACCTAACCAACTCAATTGATAATACTAAATTATCCCGGTACACTCTCCCACCAAGGCAGCACCACAGTTTCTTTAGAAACTTCCCCCTTTATTCATTTATAATTATCAAAAGTCAATAAGAATTAAAAAACAACAACAACAACAACAACAACAACAACAAAAACCACCATGATTTACAAAGGTTGACCACATGTGACCCTCCATGATTTAAGGGACAAAGGTGATAACACACATATACAACACACCAACAAATCACGCAGAATGCCCATTAGCGGCGAAGTGAACTCTGGAGAGCTTTGATTGGTCATAGATTATGCTGACTTTCCTCCTCAGGGAATATCACTCTAGCTCATTAACTGTTCAAGCAGAGCTAAGAAACAATAGTTTGATAGAAAGTTATTGTTCACGCTATTGTTAAAAAAATCACCCATTCGTGCTTGTGTTACATGCTGGACAAGGGTTTAATTTTGAAACCTTCTGTTACATATTCATCTCTTTTTACACCTTACTCAATAATTTTTTCTTTTATTGCTGAACAATAAGGGACATTACACTGTGGAACTTTTTTAATGCTAGTAAGAATAAGGGAATATTTTGTTTATTTATGAACTTTTGATAATTGACTTTGTCAGAACTGATAACTTTATAAGTTATAAATTAATATGAGTTAATTCTCTTTTCTGGTTGTACTGATAACCATAACATTAATACTACACTTAGGTGTACATGTACATGTACAGGTAACTGTGATATGTGGAGTATCTCATATGTAGATTTGCCCTGTACAATTTAGTTTTATTGAGCATGCTAGTGTTTCTGCTGTCTTAATGGTTCTTGCTTTCTGAGATACAGTGCAGATTTCTAGTGTGACCTAGAGTTTTACACTGGAAGAGCCCTTAGGGTTACTGATAATGAGGTTGAAATCAAATTTCTACACCAAGTTGTCAAAACATTTAACTGGCCTCTGAGGAGCAATATTGATATTGTCCACAACAGAAGAGTCTTCTATGGTTCCAAAGAGCTGAAAGGCACTGGACCTTTCAATGTTCCAGGTCTTTCATGTGTTAATTGAGAGGCTGTTTAAATATCTTCAAAAAGAAATGTTTTCAAATAAATGATCAAACTAATTGCAGATTGCGGTAGTTAAACACTGCTTTAATTACTAAACTTGGATTATTCTGAACTTTTTGTAAGAGTTCTATTCATTGACTCTCAATAAGCCAGTTACCACTATTTTGGAAAGTTCCAAGGCACTGAACTGTATGAATTGACCCCTTTCTCTATAGTATTATCAGTGGAATGGCCTTTGAAAATTGAAGTATTGCTTGTTTTAAGCTACATTTCTGAAACATTGCATGTTATATTTTAATTTGTTATCTTCAGATATAATAAAAGAAGGTACTGACTCTAAATATGATATGTATTTCAGTAAACTCAGTGTTCTCCCTTACTTTAAGCATGACATGTCAAAATAAATTTGAAAACTGGTAAGGCAATCCTTTAATTTACATATTGAATTTCAAGAATTCCAAGCAATTTTAAATGGTAATAAGAGGTAGTACAGGCGATAAATGTTACCGGTTACTGCCTGAAAAAGAGAACACTGTAAACTTAATCCACAATTAGACTCAGACTTTTTGTATATTGATACTCCTCATGTTAGCTTGGTGTTGATACCACTAATGTACAGTTGTTGTTATGGTCATTGTTATTAGTGTTTAATCAAAAACAGTGAAAACTTGGATGTGATAAATTTGAACAAAATTGGTATGCATGTAGCATTCATTTCTCCCAAAAGAATAACGGTACCATAATTATAGTCATGCGGTCATAATGTCCATAATATAATGTGGGCTTCATTTTTTCTTGTGTTTTCCAGGATTTTGGTAAATTACAACACTTAAGTTTAGGCCCCTTAAGAAAGTAAAAAGGGAGCCAAGCTGACAAAAAAAACCTGGTTTTTAATTTCCGAGCAAACAAAAAAAGAGGACTGTTTTTGTTACAGACATTATGTAATGTTCATAACAAAATAATGTTACTTGCTCTCACTTAGAAAGTACACCCATTTCGGAAAAAATCCTATCTGTAAGTTCTTCTTTGTGTTGAGTTCTGTTAGTTTTGTTCCTCTGGTCAGATTTTGGGAATACATGTGTCTTACTGAAATCATTTTAGACCTTTCAACATGCCAGCTATTTTCATACACTTTTCATTAGACAAAAATAAAAAGCCTCTCTTGGCCATTCCCCGCAAAGTCAACCCTCAGATTAATAATTTTTAAACAACTTAGGGTCTTCTTATTCCAATAATCCATGAT